AATGCCGGTACTTCTTTTAATACAGGAAAGTAAGACATCAAAGAAACTTACCATAGTTGTACAGGTCAGTGCAATATACAAACAAACACAGATAAATGTAACTGCATTAAAATGTAAAGCAAGATAATCAGCCCACATCGATACACGTGACAATAAAGCAGTCAGGTGTAGCGAATGTGAAAAGTATACCCTGCTGTTGATATCATACTGTTAGATGTAAATCAGTTAGGGAAATTACTATATATATCATGCTAATAAATTAGACTGAAATGTTTAAATCAATTAGTTAAAAAATAAAATGTATCTATCACTATAGTTTGTAAGTGTATAACATGTTATTGTACTATGTATGTAATTGATAATTATATGTTTTACTAAAATGCTTATGGGATGTACGTCCCACGGAATAAAGAACAGAACAGTACTTAGATGAAAATATTGAATGTATATATACGAGTCTTCAGCTTTAAGTCAGTCGCGGCCGGGGTACGAACCCACGACCTTTCGATCACGGAGCGCTTAGTTTTATCGACTGAGCTACCTTGCCTGTGACGAGAAGTGCATTTTGCTGTTGAGATATTCAAAATAAGTTACTATGAAAATGTTTCGATTAACTTTTAATCTTTATTACAAATAAGGCTAAATCGAGGTATAAGCGTTCTCAGAAAAAAAAAATCTTGTACTATGAGATATGAAGTACATTTATATAGTATAATTCAAGAAATCAAATATTGCATGGGTCGACACTTACGCAATTATGCTCTTACCAAAATGCCAAATATGTAAGATTTTCCCCAACGCAAATATCAATATCAGAAGTTAAGAAAACTTATTTCTTTTGCCACCCAGTTGTTAATTACAATTTGACAACAACATTCCAAGGAACTTAAAACTGTTTAGTAATCCCCTGCAGAAAACAATGCACTTGATAGTACACTATAATTGTAAATAATATCTTATTATTATATGTAGAACACATGTTTTTAAAGACACACGATATATAAATACAAACGTCAAAAATTTGAAAATAACAATTTGAGTCATGTTTATTTAAGGAAAATGAACAAGTTTAATCGTATAGATTTTAATTTTTCATTCAAAGTTTTACAAACATATCTTGGATTTGAACAGACATAAATCTATATAGGTTATGAAGGACGGTTGGTGAAAGGTCTAATTTTGAACATCATAGAAAGGTTTACAATTTTTAAAAATATATTATTATTTGCGTCATTTACAAAAGAAAAATGCCAAACAATATACATGTATATACAAATCAAAACATCCTTTTTTTTGTATCATCTGTCCTATAAATAACGTCCATATTATTAAAACACTGTGAGGAGATAAAAATAGTAAGCACTTATCTGTTATACACTAAATAAGTTTCTTTTTAGTTACATTGATAATTATTGGGGGTGAAAAAAATGGTTGGTGTTTCTGGGAGTCGAACCTGGTTGCTTTGTTGTGCGGGGCAGCAGTTGTGTTGATTCGGCTATCCAGTTATATATCTATATCTATTATTTCACCTATGTGCCTTACTACTTAATTTAGATCTCTTTTAGGGTTTATTTTGCGGGCATGCGGTGATTCGGTCTAATTAGGGTATTTAAACTCGTGTTTTATGTTCTTTTGTCATTCGACAAGTTAGCCACGACTTATCAGTTTTCCAATTTTCTTTTACTTATATTTAATGAAACAGAATTCTTTTGTTGATTGACCAATCCTAGGCTTGCCTATGTGGTAAAGAATTGCTCAAATCGCTCTCGAAAATTTTTCTCTATGTACATAAACGAAAAAACTGTTTTGTAATGGTTCATAACTTCATAGATACATAGCTACCTTTAGCGGAAATATGTTTTGGTGTAGTGTTTACTGATATTTCTAATATATAATTATTTTGCACAGCTCTACTTAAACAATTTATTTTACATTATAATTAATGACACTTTTGCGTTAAGTTTGTGAGAATGAGTCCACCATTCATTTCATTTACCTCGCATTTGCTGTGGACTTACAGGTTTCCATAGTTTTTTCAACATCAATGTTGTTTTTTATCTATGGTTTTCCTGGGCGGCGAGGGATTCATAGTGATACTCTTTTATGGTGGTCAAAACAAGTGGGGACATATAAACATCTGTTAAAATACCTTCTTGTTCTGTGATATTTGATTAATTATTTTTCTTTTGATACATTAATTTGTAGAAGGAATGTTAAGAAGTTGGTTGTGTTCGTAAATATTGATACGTCTAAAAAGCGCGGCAAGCAAGCTCTTCTATATGTAGACGCACCTAAGGAGTCTGGACGCGTTAATATTTGTACCAAACAGTTTTATTAAATCTGGCTAACATTGTCACATCCTCTATATTTGTGTTTGAGTTGTTTTTGTATATGTAAAGAGAATATGAAATAATTTATGTTTGTCTGAGCGAACATAAATCATGCAGTTGTAGCACGCACGCATTACAAATATTTCCTGGAGATAACACTGGCATGAAAAAATATTTAAGTAAATGGAAGTTTGATTTTCAGAAATTAACTGATATCATATTCCTAGGTCACACCCATGAAGAAATTGTTCGTTACAAGTTTTCTGTTACCATTTCTGACTTTTGGAGAACAAAGTGCCAGTCGTGATGATGTAAATGCAAAATTAAATGTTCTTGAACACTTTTTAAACGATCTAATGGATTTTGTCTACATTCAGAAAAGACGTAATGAAGATTTAGAATTCCGGAGTCTACAGAACCAAAAAGAATTCGAGCAAATGAAGGACCGGTATAGTGGAACAAAAAAAAACTTTGGAAACTCGTATAGGTAAACTTGAGGATATTACAAATACTCAAGATCGTGATCTTACAATACGGAGAAAAAATACAGTAGGAGAAAAGAGGTTTTTTTACCCATTTAAAACGCCAAATTAAAAATGTGGAAAAATCCCATGTACCAGAGTTTGAAAATCCATGTGACCCCGAAAATAGTTCCCATGTAAATGTTGCCAGTGGAAAAGCATTATTGATGGATAAAATCAACCCTGAGAGAATTCAGAGTAAGAGACATCTTAGAAGTGAGTGGAAAAATAATTCATTAAAATTTTATTTCACTTGATATGATGATTGCATAGTCAAGTGATATGACTGAACTTACCGGTAAAATTAAATTTATTTTTAATCTTAAATATATCTGTTCACTTTGTTTTATAGGGCGATCTGTCACCCAAAGATCAAATGAAACTGGTATTATTGCATTCTATGCATATATGTCTTCGATTGTACACGCCTAGTTTTGGTCTTTGATGTAGTCCGAACCAACATTGGAAATGCATACCATGCTTCAACTGGGGTCTTTCTTGTTCCCGAATCAGGTGTCTACGTGTTTACCTGGACATTTCGTTCAGGGAGTGATAATGGCCACTCATTTCAACTTATGATAACTACAGAAGAATATGGTTCTGTTTATCATCGCACACTGAGGCAGAAAACACAGAAATAGTTGTTGCGCAGGTAACTACTGGAGACGATGTTTATGTGAGGATAAAATCCATATATGATATAGGAACAGCACACTATATCCAAAGTGATTTGGATGGGAGAACATCTTTTGCAGGATGGAAGCTGTAAAGTACATGTGTGTCTGCATTCGTGAATAAAAAAGATTACCATTAAATATTTTTTAAATTGATCAACTGCTCTCTTTTTTTTAATTGCAAAGAGATTTTACGCACAAAAAAGGGAATTTATTGATGCCGCGTGCACTGCACTTGCAGAATTTTGTAAAACCGAAGTACATATTAATTATCCCGCTCTTGTATTTTTACATTTTAAGTGTTGAAATATTTTTTTATTGACAAGAACATCATTAATACTTATTGGTGGATGAACCACTGCTCAAGAAATCCAAGCAAGCTTAAAGTGGCTTACTTTTTTAAGAAAGCTGTAATAATGTAGTCTTCTCTTTTTTCCTCTCCAGGAGATATAAAATCAAAACTAGAGGTACTGTGAGCAATGAGCTCACTAAATGATACCCTCCGTCTCCCACATGAATATAATGGCAGTGGCCATGTTTTGCTATGGGAAACTTAAAATATGCGTCGGATCAAAAAGTAAAATAAGAGGTGCACAATGGAATATGTAATAAAGATTCCATGAAAGTTTCATCAAATTTCATTAAGTGGTATGAGAGGAGTTACGGATAAGAGATGGGTACCCCAAAGCGTAACAGACGAACGGACATAACGATTACTATATACCCTTCCGCTTTTCAAGCGGGGGGGGGGGGGTATAAAAAAATTGGAGAGTGCAACATTATTGCAGCAATTTTAAGGTAGTTCAATCCTTAGGTTCTGAAAATCAGCAGTTAAGTGATTGAAGTCACCCGAGTAGTGCAGTCGTTAGACCGTTTCTATAGAGTCGTGGAGTAAGGAAATAATCCTTACGTCGCGGGTTTGAATCCGTATGTGGGACGTGGAGACCGGGCCTTTGGATGAGTATATATAAACCGAGTTTCCGTGTCCAGTAGGTGCAGGCACAAAAAAGAAGATCCCTCACCGCTAAATGACTCTATGTGCCGACCATTTGATCAAATTTTGCACCTCTCCACAAGCTAGTGATGGCGTTTCCATACGGATGCAACCTTTTCTAGACAACAAACAAATATAAAACTATGGTATAGTACTTTTAGGGTGAATTTAATACCCGGTAGTTCGCCTTTAAAATGAAAAATAAAAATTGATTTTATTACCAAAGGGTTTGGTAAAGTGTTTTCAGTACTTCCAGAGAAAATAATAAAAAAAAAAACATGGCGGGAAAAAACTCAGCCATCAGGTCACCTAAGTTACTTTGTATGCCTGAAAAAGATATTATGCTTAATACAATGTAATTCTGAAAGGAAATAAAATGCATAATAAATATTGTACACACATGTAATTTTTCTCAACATGAATTGAGATAAGAACATTTGACGATTGTGCCAATTTTCAATGACAGTTATACATGTTACATATGATAAATGTAGAACTAAGGTAAGTGTTGATAATTTCGCAAAATATTCAGAACTTTATTTTGCATTGACTTGTACATGGATTCAAAGAGTGAAAACGAAACAATCATGCATGTATTACTAATATTTTTTCTTTTAAGTGCTTTGTTACCAGAAAGGGTTTGTATCGAAAATAGAGACAGGGAAGAAAGTATTGTGGAAAATATGAATGTTCCTCTAAAACACCTGAAAAATGAGAAGGACGAAATGATGTACATCCTAAAACAAGAAAATAAAGATCTAGAACTCAAATGTACCGAGAAAAAAGAAGATTTTACGCGGATTAAAAGTGAACTTTATAAAGCAATAAGCAGTCGGGACACTCGTATACGTACATTTGAGGGTGTAGTAATGGACCAAAATCGTGAAATTAATAGACTTAAACAGGAAAAGGAGGAAGACAGAAAGTATGTCAATCGATTAGAAAATCGCCTTACTCAACTGGAAAGTAAATTTGAAAAAAGTGAAAAGGAAAGGAATTCTTCCTGTGCTAAGAAGACTATAGAAGACATCAGATCAACTAACTTAACGAACATCAAGAGAAATCAGAGTAAGAAAGAAGATACTTTTAACCGTTATCTATTCTGTTAATTTATCCGTTGAAATATTACCGACTCGGTGTTTTATTAAGACATTTAATTAACTATCAATATTTTGTAAGGTTAAAGAATAATGCATGCCTTATTTCTTTATCAAAGCAATGAATATATATATATATATATATATATATATATATATATATATATATATATATATATATATATATATATATATATATATATATATATATATAGAGGAGAGCATCTACCCCTAAATTATATATGTATATACATGTACGTATTATAACAAAATTGACCTCATCAATTTATTCTACAGAAAGACTTCTCATCCCTCCAACAACTTCTCATAGCTCCATTGCATTTTATGCATACATGTCAGCTATGATACCGTCACCAAATACACATCAGGTGCTTGTCTTTGACGATGTCAAAACTAATTTTGGAAACGCTTATCATCCATCTACTGGACTTTTTATAGTTCCTGAATCGGGTGTGTATGTCTTTACATGGACGTTTCGAACTGGTGCAGCCTATGATCATTCAATTCAGTTACTGATAAACAAAGACGTAGTTGGTACCTTGTTTCTTAGGTCAGTTGCTGGTCTAGACGCACAGGAGACGGGTATTGTTGTTACCCACGTTAACGCTGGAGACGACGTTTATGTAAGAACACATGCTACGCTTCCCTTGGGTACGTCGGACTCCATTCTGAGCAGCTCTTATGGAAGAACGTCCTTTGCCGGCTGGAAACTTTTTTAAACTGTAGAGTGAATACTTCCGCCATTTTTATATGTCATTAAAGTCCTATTTTACTGCATTGTTTATCTTTATTTTTCATTTATTTAATATGCCAAAGGCCAAAAAATGAAAACGTTAATATAGGTTGAAAGTAGTTTATACTGAGTATGTAGTTTCTCTGCTTTTTTCCTGTAGTTATACGGGTACACATGTATGTAGTTTCCCTGCTTCTTTTCTGTAGATATACTGGGTATGTAGTTTCCCTGCTTCTATCTTGTAGTTAATACTTCGTATGTAGTTGCTCTGCTTCATTCCCTTCGTATTACAAAAAGAGCAGTACTCTTGATGGTGATGGTGACATGTGGTTTTTTATGCGCCGGGATCGAAAGATTCGAGGCGTATATTGTTTTTGTCCTGTCCTGTCTGTCTGTCTGTCTTTCTGTTTATCTGTTTGTCTGCAAACTTTAACCTTCGCCATAACTTTTGAACTATGAAAGACAGAGACTTTATATTTGGTATGCCTACTCCACTAATAAAGGTCTTTCAAATGACACCAAGGTCAATGACCATGTGACCTTGACTCTGACCTAGATGCTAAAAATAGAGTTTTTTTTGGAAACTTTAACCTTTGCTATAACTTTTGAACCATAAAAGATAGAGACTTCATATTTGGTATACATACATACACTTATTAAGCATTTTTAAAAGACGCCAGGTCAATGAACTTGTGACCTCGACTGTAGCCTATACGCTAAATATAGCTTTTTTGACGCCAAACTTTAACCTTCGCCATAACTTTTGAACGAAGAAAGATAGAGACTTAATATTTGGCATGCATACACCAAGGTCAATGACCTTGTGACCTTGACTGTGTCTTATATGCTAAAAATAGCTTTTTTGAACCTTCACCATAACTTTTGAACCATGAAAGATAGAGACTTCATATTTGGTATGCATACTTCACTAATCAAGATCTTTCAAATAACACCAAGATTTTTTTACCTTGTGACCTTGACTGTGACCTTTATGCTAAAAATATGTTTTTTAAATTTGTTGCCGCCGGGCGCATAGTGTTTCACAAACACATCTTTTTTTTTTACGTCAGTGACAAATACATTTTTCAAGCTTAAAAACATCTTATTGCACGTTAAACAATAAACAATCTATCAATCAATCTTGAAGCTTAGGTACATGTAAAAGAATTGTGAAGATTTTTAAAATTGTTCTTCATATAAAGGCATCGTATCTCGACCAAATGACCTGAATCCAGTGGCATGGATTTGGAAAATGAACTAGCTGCTCAACATCACCCTACTGTTTGCCTGCTGGGCGTCCACGGGTTAAAAAGTATGTTATTTATTTTTTAACTACCCCGGGTACCTCGCACCCATCATTCGACCCTAGCCTGTAATCGGCCAAACCCTTGAACAAAGAAAAAAAACCTCAATTTCTGCTTGATATTTGAAATGTCGATTGTGATTAAAATACTTAAAGAGTAAGAGGTTGGGATTGCCAAATCACTTTGAGATACATGTACAACACTTATTCCTTGCGTATTTAGAGATATTGGATTGCGTAAGCTCTTCTGGTCTCTGACCAGTAGAGCTTAAAATCAGCTATATATGTTAAAAGGAACTATATTATAATATCTTTATGTGTTTTATATGTGTACATGTAATTCAGAGAAATAACACATTACAATTAAATTATTTTAACAAAAGCAAAATAACTTTATAACAGCAACTTTATTTCGAAATACAATTATATTATTTTCATGAGCACTTTTTGATAGTGTTAAAAAAACTATAAAATACATGTAAGAAAATTTAGCATTAAGTTCCGAGTATCCAAAATAAAAATAATACATATTGTTTTATTTCACAAAAATTGGAATTTTATTCCGATAAAATTTCACATATTTAGAGTTTATTAATCCCTTGCCGAACATCGGAGCAAAGGGAATATCAGTGCCCTTTACATACAGGGCACACATTTTAAAAGGGCAGGGGGATTCCCGCCATGCATAACGGTACCCCATGACGTATTTGTTGGAGCATGTGCCGTTATAGGAGACGGTTATTTTGTGAGGCTCCTCCTTTATGACGGGGGTTTCCATCCACACTGAATCTGTTCCGTCACATTTTGACTGGTTATTGGAAGAACAACAAAGCTAAAAAAGATGATAAATTTTGTACCTTGCGAAACAAAGCTTAAATAAAAATTTACCGGCCATTGCTTTGAATCTTTTCTATTAGAAATATAATGCAAAAGTAAACTCTCGTTTTACTTTTATTATATATATTTCTTGAAAGCCTGATTTTTGTAACAAAAATTGTCTCATTAAGATATTACTCAGTCAGAAAATAACAAATATGTAAGAAAAATTAAATTAAAATTATCGAAAGATATCTTGCACCTATGAAAAAAAGAAAAATACTATACAGCAACCTTTGCAAAAGAACTGTTAACTTTCCATTTTTAAACCTACCTCAAATCCAGTTTTTGATCTGACTTCTATGTCTACTGCATTATCAAACTCGAACCCCACAGTAAAAAATCCAATATCTGCGTAAAAGGCCGTGATGTTAGGCCCCTGGAATGGACCTACTTGCATGTTATAAGCTACAGACAGACCTGCCAAGGCAAGGCGATGACACACGTCCTCTTTGTCTCGCGGATGAACACTAAAACAAAACAATAAACAAAATGGTAAGAATAATAACTCAGTATTAAAGTCAATTTTTATGAACGAAACATATTTGAAATACAACGAATCAAATTTGTCTAAGAAAAAAAATAATTCGAAAAATAGGAACAACTTTTGTTAAATATAGAATTTGAACGAAATAAAAGCTAGATAAATCTTGTTCCATTTTTATTAATAACATTGTTAAATGTCATCTTTCGCTAGTTCTTTGTGGAAACAATGATCTTGTCAGTGAAACATATGGAGATAAAGAACAGTATTCAACTTCAAAATATAGCAAATACAATAGTGTATAACCGTATGTATCATTACGTCGAATGCTGACTGGTGTTTTCATACCAATTGTAAGACCTGTATCTTATTTATGAATATCAAAGGATTTTTCTGTTTGCCTGATTATGACAAAGAGATCTTGATCGTGAATGGATGTGACCGCTCAACATGGGATGCTTACTCTTCCATGGCACCTGTTCTAACCTCTGATATCGATGTTTTTAAAGGTTCATGTTTGCTCTGGTCCCGATTTGTAATATCTTAATGGATCTATTGTTGTTGTTTGTTTTGAACATACTTTACTGACAATATGTCAAAGGGATTGAACTCAAGTTTCAAAAACCTAGACGGTCCTCTCTCTTTCTTAATTTCTTTTTATTATCTTTTTTTTTATTGTAAGAAACAATTTTCCCATTTTCGCTTAACATGTATTTTTAGATTTAATGATACGTTTTCTGTCTTAGCACTTTCGAACAAAGTTTTCTTTGAGGGGACCCTCTAAGCAAGTTAGAAAAAAAAACTTTTCTTAGTGTAACACATATTATCATCATTTGTTTACTGCATTTAAATAGTCTAATTACATTTATATCGTTGTCTTTAGTTTCTCTATGCAAGTATATAATTCCCTGCTTTAAAAACTTGCAGTTTAAAACGATAATGACTCAGTACCTTCCGTATGGGGACTTGTAGTCCGGTAAATCCATAGCTACAGACATGAACACATTCTGCATTCTGTAATTAGGTACGTATCCATAGTCTGCGGTTTGGTGCCAGCGAATATCTGGGAATCCAGTAATTACTGAAGGATCATTACGATTAGGAGCGAGCTGAAAATTTAACAAAGCATTCATCTGGTATGGTTTTGAAATTTGGGGATGATAATATGCATGCACACGACTTAGGGACGCACAAAAGTCAAAGGAATTTCTTTAATACATAGTTCCTTTTATTCATACAGAACGGTAAATTGTATCTCTTAGCAATGAATGATTCCAAATATTTCAATCTCATTTAAACCAGATTTTTAATCAAATGTCAGCGTCTGGCAGATGGTTTAGTTAACGATAATAATTTACAAAATGTATAAAATTTTTAATTACAGAAAATAGTGTTATTTTCCTGCAGTTTGACATTAATTTTGATACATCTGGAACCTTTTTTTGTCATGTGCATGGAAATTTATAAATTCATATAATGGAAGAAAACACTGGTGTTTTTTGAGATCGTGTTCTCTACAAAATAGTCTATAAAATGAATTTTAATATGCAGGAATGAAAATCCAGAAGTCAAATTAAATCAAGGAATAAACATACTTATATTACTAACTAACGGTGACTTTATCACCATTACTTAACAGTTTTTTTTTCAGTTGTGGACACTAGCCTGAACAAAACCGAACGGAAAATTTGCGGCTGTTCCGGATGCAGCATTAAATTTCTTTCTCCAGTCGTCAATCATCGTAGGAAAATAGCATTTGTATTTGTCTGGTTTGCCTGCGTTTGCCTCTCCTTGAACATAGATAGAAAATCAAAAATACAAACTACGACTATCATATGCATAAGCTTAATTCAAAGCGTCAATACAATTTGAATACAGTTCTTTATATTAACGAACGTTTCCTCTTTTGGAAAAGTTGAGAGTCCGTTTCTACGAACCTTGATACCAGATTGCACCTTTAATGGTCATCTTTGTAAAGGGGTGCATCATTGCATTCCATAACTGGGAATTAGATATGGCGTTTCTTTGACTGAAGAAAAACATCTATTTATTTTACATGTAATACAAGAAGTATTTATTCAGAGAATTTTGAATGAAATGTTAAAATAATGCTAATGAATATTAATAAAATGAAGCAATCCCCAACTTTACCAGAATAGAAGCAAAAGTATCTAGTGTAACTTCTGTAAAAAGTGTATCTCTTAAATTGAATTTGCGTAACTCATTTAAATTTCTAAAATACAAATTGACTAAACTTTAAGGACTTCAAAAATATTTAAATTATTGGTAAGGGATATGATTCTTTTACTGTGACCAACCTTTC